GTCAGCTTTGTAAAAGGATATTTTAACTTATGGTCTCGCACTTTTAGGTGCTGTTATATGCAATAGTCTTTTTCTCATTTATTATTAGACCTTTATCATAGCACCATTTTTGGAATATTCCAATTTTTTTCCTGTAACTCTCCTTCTGCCTTCTTTTGGTCTCTGTTTATAGATAATAGCATCTTGTCATCTGCATAAATATAATAGGAACCATCTTCTAGATAATTTTTTAAGTCATTCACAAATATTAGGTAAAGTATAGGATTTAGAAAATTGCCTTGTGCAATTCCCGTTTTCACAGTTTTTATTTTACTATTAGAGAAATCTATTTTGACCCTAAATGATCTTCCTCCTAGATAGTTTTTTAATAACTGTAAAACATTGCCCTTAACTCCTATACTTTCCAGTGCATCTAACATTTTGAGTTTTACAAAAAAGAAAATGATTGAGATGTGTTAATCTGCAGAGAACTTGCGTATTAGCTATAAATACATACCAATACTAAGGGCAAACATAAGTATATGCTGTTTTAGCACCACCAGCTTTTTTTCTTGAATCCGTAAGATAACAAAGAAAATATTGAAAACTGATATTAAGTATATTCTAAAACCATTTAAATTGCCGCAGCATACTCTTGTTTATGCGTCATCCACTACAGTGCGGCATGGGCACTGCTATTGATAAAAAAATTTCTTGGCTATGCGTCCTTCCTTCAAGCACAACTTGTCCCAATCTTATTGTCTCCATCGCCAACTAATTTCAACTTTTATCATTAAATTATAATATATAAGGCATGTACAATAAATGCACATTATTTATATTCTGCTATAATTTATTTTCACTTCTAACATTTGCAGGAGAGGGGGGTGTCACAAGCGTTAGTACGTAATTATTCAAACATGTGTTATGGGCAAGTTACGGTGGGGAGGAGGTATTCAAAATATTCCAAACTTGCATTAGGTTTAATTTGCATATGGATGACCCCTTAATAAATTTGAATCACTTTCAATAGTGCTAGTTTAACGTTTGTTGATAACTTTTTAAATGAATGGTAAGGATAGTATTTTCACTTATGCACAAACACTGAAACATATTTTATCAGAATGTTGAAAATTTCCCTGAAAAATATTAATTTGTAGAAATCCCTACGTTTTACAAAAAGTATGGACATTTAAAGAAAGATTTTTAAGAAAACACTTTGAGACCCTAAAGAAAACAGCGCAGATCATAATCTAATAGCAATGTACTGGAAAATAAAATGAAAGAGAATTGTATTTTATTAAAATATGAACCAATTACAGAAAAATTAATCATCATAAACACCATTGTTAGTATAAAATTGGTCTGTTTCCTCTTTCATAAGGACTAGATATAAAGAAAGTCCACGCAACATTGGGCATTTTGCTAGTTACAAATAATAAGAGAAAGTACTTACTGTGTAGATCTACTAGTTTTGTAGATAAACTTAATTATTTTTCAGGATAAAGTATCTCTTGTTGGTTAGATTAATTCCTTGAGTTATATTCATGTAATATAAAACCATATAGACAATTAAAATCTTCATATCTTATTAATACGTTTTTTCTAGGTCGAAGAGTATGTGGAACTCTTTAATATGCCTCTGCATAAAACTTGTTTTGATAAATTGTCAAAATTTCACAATGCAATTTCTTTGAATTATTTAGACTCTACTTTCAAATTTCTAAAACTTAAAAATAGTTTAAAACAAACCCAAGGTTGCTTTGAGAGTAATTGTAGATTTTGATATACCCTAGTGTGTTTCGTGTACCATTCAAACAAATATCATATTGATATAAATAAAAAATCCATTACATAATTTACAACTAGTCAGTACCATTAAGTTAAACTTTCCCATCGCATCTAATATATACTTATATAGGGATCCATTACTTGTTTTTCCATTCCTAATGATTTTACCATATATGATTAAAACTGTACGAATAACTTCTTCTACTTCCTGATTGTCCCTAATTAAAGGAAAACATTGGATTAAGTGTTTTCAATTGGACAATCACATAATACCTTCAAGGATCCAAAATTATTTTCAACAACAAAATTATGTTTTCATCAATTGGAGTAACAATAATTATTCAGTTCAATACTAACTAAACAAGTTTACTTTATTTATTAATATGTACTTTAGCATGGCCACTTGTATAACCCAAACCATTGTCACTTTCCTACATTTTTTTAATTAAATACTGTGAATGGGGGTGAATTGGGACGCAGGGATGTATAGGGACAGCAGTGTAGAAAAAAATTCTATCCCTCACTCACATAACATTAAATAATGTGTTTTTGATGTCATCTGGTAAATAAAATTAATATCAGATTGTAATTCTTGACAGTTGTGTGTATTATTTTTGGAATCATTTCGGTGGTTAGGAATATTGCTTAAGTTGATCAGGCTAAATCTGCATAGCGGTCATACAATAAAACGTTTCCTGCTCAAATTGTAAACAGAAAAATGAAAGGAGGCCGAACAGCCCTTGGTGAATCTTGTGGAGAGGAAGATTGTAAATAGTGTTGTGAGTTGTGGAAGATGAAGGTATCCAATGAGTACCTTTTATTTGCTGCGTTTTGTTAAATATCGTTTGGACAGGGAGGGGAAAGTAATGAAGCAGTTCAAGAACAACCTTGTGGGGTCATGTTTAGCTCAGTCTTTCATCAACAGGCGTAAGGATAAAATTACTCTTGCATTTGTCAAAATCTGACTTAGAGAAATGCTAGTCACTCCACAGGACACTGAACATTATTTTGAGGAATTGAAACAAGTTGTTCATCGTGTTCTAATAGTAAGACAAGAAAGATAGATATTCAAGTGATAGTAATGCATTGGATGATTTTGTTTTTATGTATTTTATGTTTTGAAAAAGTAATCTAGGGTTCCTATTGTCGTCAATGTCTGATAGAATAAGGTTTTGGACTTTTATTTTTGACTGCCCCTATTGACCCCATCCATGGGTAGAATTGGGACACTTTTAATCAACAATTACGCATCATTATATAATGCTATCTTAATGATATTAGGTTTCAAAGATAACTGATGAAACCACCTTTTACTTTCAATAAAAAATATTTATAGCATTTTGTATTACTAGCTTTAATATTAAAAAAGCTTTTAATCTGTCTCTATTCACCCCCAATTTACAGTAGTTTTTCTTTAAATTATCTTTTCCCGCCTATTTAATTTAGAGGAATTCCAAGAGGATCATAATAGAATTTGAATTAATAAAGAAAAATTTTCTTGACATCAATTTAAATGAATACATACATGATATGGCTTTTAATTGCCAATTATTGTTTTCCTGGATGAATAAATGGGCAATATATAAATTGGATGAAATAAAGGAAGAAGAAAATAAAACATTATTTTTCAGATATATTATGCATGAAATTCTTTCCTATTCCTCATGAACTTAAAAATGGAATTTAAAAGAATCCTATCCATAAATTATCAGAATGTTAACTTCAAATAAAACATTTTTACATTGGTTTTACATAAATTTCACGGGGTATACACTTTTATTCCAGCAGGTATTTAATTTTGAATTAATCAAAGCTTGTAGCATTACAATATGTGCACAGGGCCGTCTTTCGATTAGATGTGGCCCCCAAAGGCTCTCAAAGATTTGAGGCCCCTAAATATTGTCAGAAAAGTTAATATAAAAATTAAAAAGAGTTAATCCTTCTTTTTAAGATAAGCAAATGAAAAGTAAAACAATTATTATAGGGATGGGATTAAAATCCCATTGATGTTCAGATGATTTTATTCTTTGTTTCATCTTCCCATTAGAGAACAAAATTTCATTTCAAGGATTGATAATTTATCATCTGCAGGGCCCCCTTAATCATGGGGGCCGAGGCATGTGCCGCATCAGGCTGTGCCAAAAGTCATCCCTGTATGTGCATTGCTGGTACCATTCAATGAATATGAAACAACTGAAAAAATAGAAAGTTTCTTCCACATCAATGAGATTTAGAGTTCCTTGACAATAGAAAACCATTTGAACCCACTCATAATCTGATTAACATCATTTGGGCAGTATTTTCTTCCTGGGAGAATAGGATTTGTGAAAAATGAATATAAGCATATTACAGATTACATTAATGGAAATCATTTCATGTATTCTTTTTGAAACACAGGGTTGAAATTTTGGCATATTTTCTTTTCAATTCAATGTGAAAGCTTGTTATAATATTTAATGAGTTGTTTGAACCAGAATATCTTTATTTTGGGGAGATTTTAGTCGTCTAGCCCTCCCCAAGCAACACACCACTAAGCAGACAACCCTCTATTTCATCCTTCTGATCCACCAATTTCATGTTTACACATTCTTAATTTACAGAATTTGATTTGTAAATTGTATATTTTAAGTTTACACTGAAAATTAATATCATCAAAACAGGAATGGAGGGTTTATGTGTGATTGCAACACACTTTACATTAAGGATATGACAGAAATTCATGAAAGTAGTTTTTAAGAAGGAAGTAGATTAGAAGTAGATTTTTGAAATGGAAATATGGCTTTTGCAATTTTTGAAATGAGTGCCTCTTATTATTCAATTTACAGAGCAAACTACTAGCTTATTATTGTTTGAAGAACTAGAGAGATACTGAAATATGCAAGTCAAATTATAAGAATTTGCATTTTTAAGGAGACAATGCAGATACATATAGTTATCACAAGCACACAAGTTTAGGATACCATGGCCCTAGGGATAGGATCAGATAATAAAATTACATGCAAACATAAAAATGTGAATGTACAGAAGTGTTGAAACTATATGTAATAGTCTCTTTATAGTCATTCAAAGTCATTTTTTAAATGGGAATAATATTCCACAAAGTTGTTTTGCTTAGATTTGAATTCTAAAAATAACAGAGTGTAAATTGTAAAGAGACATCAATTTACGTCTCAAAGCAGCTATAGGCTAATATCAGTAACACAATTAAAAATTAACAAATATTAAGTTTCTGTTTTATTTTTTCATCTATGTCAACATCAGTATAGCAGTAAATATATACCATACATTATCATATATAATATGTAGGCATACATGGGCATTCACAGCATAAAACAATAGGAGAGGACCCAACTACATTTCTGGATCCCCTTTCCTATAAACATTTTTTACTTTACATGCTCCAGTGTAAATAAATAAATCATAGGTACTTCAAGGATAATTACATTATTACTTTCATGAAAAAATGTATAAATATAACTGTTTTCATATTTAACCTCTTTCAGGGTTCCCACATGGCACATAGAGCCTCTTCCCGAAATTTCGTGTCGCAATTTCTCAAATTCGCATGATAAAAAAGTTTTAAATGAGGGAAATCAGGGACTGAACACACTTTCAGGAATCAGTTTTCAGTAAACCCTCAACATGGATTCCAAGAATTCAAAGAAATTGGTGTCCAGGGCACAAAATTTGTGCCATTCAATTATTAAACAGAGTATTAGGTTAAACGAGTGTGAGTTAAAAATTGTTCAAAATGAGAGGCGTAAGTTCATTAGTGATTACACAAACAAACAAGTAGTTTGTAGTTTTCGAGCAAATGTACTGTATGTATGCTCCGAATAATTCCAGAGATTGTTTTTAGATTTTTAATTCTTAGAACTAAAGATAATACACTTATCCCTTTTAAACTGGCGAACTAACCTTCCGTCTATTTTTTGACTTACTCTCTGTTAGCCAAACCACAGCCGTCTTTACAACTTGTAAGGCCAACTCGTAAAGTCGGCCGTGACCTAGCAATCTTACATATCAGTATTGCTGATTCCTTGCCAGGGCCCACATTTTGTTGTTTCGGTGAAATTCGTGTTAACCGCATACGGTTTCCAATATCTATTTCACTAATGCAATTAATTAATCATCAGAAAAATACAGCTCACCCTTTTTTATGTGTTCTGGTTGAAGTAGATTAATATCTTCAATTTTACTAAACACCTACATTTTCTGACCAAACCTCACTTTTAATTACTAATAAAACTGTAGATGGGCAATCAGTTCCGTATGTGTAGTGCATGTCATATCCGGCTGGAACCAGAGTTCTGGAGCCGACCGTCAGTTTGTAGTGTTTCCTTCTGCATGTATATCTCCTCATTGAGGAGTCCTCAACGGAGTACTACTCCAACCGGTGCATCGTGCAAGCCATGGTGGAAACATGGCATTTCCACCATGGTACAAGCTTCAAGTTTTCGTCTGTTCTCCGACATGTGTTGCAGTGTAGTGCATATAAATGTGTGTGTATGGATTATGTAGAGAGGACGGAAAGATCGCGAACAGTGGTTTAAGGTACTGCTCCGGTTTTCGCCTGGTGTAGATCTGGGTAACCAGGGAAACCCGCAGATCACAGCAGCCGGCCCCTAGAATTCTCCCCCAAAGAGAGAATGATTTTGACATAGCTATGTAGTAGGTAGGATCAAAATTATGCCACAACTTCAACTGTAGGCCCTCTAGTTCAACCGCGCTGCAGACAGATATTGTCATCGGAGCCATCGAACCCGGTATTTCCTCTCGAAATCAATGTAGAATGTATAAACAAATGTGATTAAAAATTTATTGAATGAGACAAACTAAGAAGCTGTTACATAAAATAGTTGACAAAGAAGTTTCCATTAATGGATTTTTCCTTCAAGCGCGTGATATAGTAGGCAAAAAATCATTTTCATTCTCAAAGAAATAAGCATTCAATTTAAGTGTAAATTTATCTCCCATATTATACTTGCCTTCTTTTACTTTTTGTAATGTTTCAGTTGAATTATATCCCTTTATTTTTTCCAATTCACGCCTTGCACTTCCTTGAGCGAGGGAACAAAACACCAGGAGTATGAGGATCATCTGCCCTTTCTTCTTGTTTCTCATGTTAAATATTACATTTTCCCTCAATCTTCGTTACTGTAATTATATCATTACATATTTACGACAAAATGATATTTGAACATATGAATGAGAAAAACAAACGCGACATATGCAGCTGTGTTCTACGGAAGTCCTTCCAATCAGATTTTCAATACTCAGCATAAAAAAGTTTGGACAATCGTGCATGTTATGTTGCCACATCGTCTCTATTGAAAGTTACGATGGCACGTTGCCAAATGTCAGTTAAACAAATTATTTCGAACTTCTAATGAGTTCTTCTTATAGTTGATATTTTTACCATTTATATGAAGAATAATTATGATTTAAAATATTATTTTTATTTAAAAGAAAATTACATTAGGTTGCGGGATGGATGTATAGTGAGTCACGTGACCTTCGAGAAGCACGGTGGCTACAAGCGCGCCATTTCGGTAAATTTTGCTTGTTCTTGCGTTGGTCGAAGCCGGTCGCGACGGGTGCTCTGTGTGGAGTAGTGTCGCCGTAGAAAACACGTGGTCGTGTAACGGTTTTGTGCATAAAGCATTTTTCTTGCTTCGTTTGTTCAACTCTTTATAATTCACCATGGTTGAAGAATATTTTTGGGGTATGTGTAATGATATATGCATTTGTAATTAATTAATAATATTAATTTGTAAATGTGTGATTTGTGGAGTTGTACCGCTCTACTGTGGAAATTCCGGTATAGTGTTTAACAAATTCGTTTTTAATGCTACTTTCAATATTACGCAACGATTGTAGTCTCCTTAATTATCATATGTGCTCATTAGTATGTGTAGATATAATTGGGCAATTAGTGCTTGGCGCGAGATGAAATTTTACTTACTCTATTTAAGGGATATATTCATGAAATTACAGGATTGACTTTGGAGGGTGGCGAATCTGCTTCTACCGGTTCTTGGGATCCAGAATCAGATGCCGCAGAAGGAAGCAAATTTGATATTCAGTCAGACCAGACTTTAGTAGTAAGACAGGTAAGTTGTAAATGGTGTGTACTTAAGGTTTTTCTCTTGTTGCAAAAGTTCTCACATATTTCGATTTTAGGCCGTCTTAGGTGCCAAGGCAAAACCTGATGAGCTGAACATCGTGGAAGTCTCTGTAATGGGATTTAACAAAAATATGAAAATACCTGTGATTCGATTGAAAATTGGTGAGCAGACACAATGTAGATTGGATCTCACATTCCCTGACCCACCAGTTACATTTACTTTAGTGGAAGGCAGCGGACCTGTTCACATTTGTGGGAATATTGGAGTTGGTAAGTTATTCATTGGTAGATGTATAAAATGTAAACTTATAACTTTCTGGGGAGTATTTAAAGAATTTCCTTGTTTGCAGCCAGTGGCCCCCTCAATGAGTTGGAAGAGGAAGAAGATGAAGTAGATGATGATCTTGATGAGGAGGAAGATGAAAATGCTGAGGAATCTGAAGATGACTTGCAAAATAAGGTGTTTATTATTCCTGTGGACTACAGTATTACAATATGCAATATGTAATTTTTAACACATTCGTGCAAATGTTTCAGGCTGGTGAAAAGAAGAGGAAGGTGGCTGCAAACGCAAATGGGAAGAATAAAAAAATAAAACTGGAAGAAATTAATGATAATGAGGTAAGTGCTCTATAAATTTCAGTAAGAAAAGTGTTTAAATTATTTTGTGATCATATATATATAATCTGATTGATGTTATAGGGTGATGAGGAGGATGAAATCAAGAAGAAGAAATTGGCTGCTGGCAAAAAAGATAAATTGAAGAAACAAAAGTAAAAGGTGTTACACATAGATTCATGGTTGAATGGTCGCAATGTCAGAGGTAAAGGTTTTACCCAATGTACATATATTTGAATACACTGCCAGAATATTTTTGGTACTAGACTGTGGCATCTGTTACAGTACAACTAGCCTGTAACATTTTGTCATTTTCATCAATATAGTTTGAACAATTTTTTGTTTTATATTCTGTGATGTATTCATTTTCTCATGAACTTGGAAAGACTGCTTGTGTTCCTGTAGTTGATGGCCTGTTTACAGACTCAGTGTGTGATGTAACATGTTTAAATTTGTCAGTCCTGTGTCTAGAAATGATTTTAATGTTAATGTATTGGTGTGAACGAATGAATGAGTGCATTCATCTACGTAATGATGGAAAGTAGTTTGTATTTTGTTTAGTTGGAAGATGTTAAAAATTCATTAAACTCTTGTAGTTTTTGTAATGTGAAGTTAATATATGTTAATATTTCATAAACTTCCTTTCTGTCTTTTTTTATTTCTCACTGGTTTTGTTGAATCTCGTGTGGCTGTAGACTGAACAAATTGAGATACGAATTTATCAGTCTTAAAATGTGTGATTGTTTTTGAGGTGGAGGATTTTTATTCCATTTCAATATGACCCATACAAACTAGACCAAATTAAAATTAGTGTGAAAGGAATAGCTTACATTAGGAGTGTATTTATTCAATTATATTACTAATCAAATATTTCATGAAGTTATAGTAATGTAGAACCAAAGTTGAGTGACTTATTGAATTTGGTTTTGATTTGTGTAATGTTCAAACTAGAGCAGGTTAAACTGAAATTTCACTTATGAATTTTTTTATTCTTACATGCTCAACAGTTTAGTGACAACCTCAAATTAATATATTTGGATGAAGTCCTACATTGTGTTGCTGTTGACTGTGCAATATGCAAGGTTTCCTATTGTACTGAAAGTTTCTAAATGATTCATTGGAGAGATAAATTTCATTCTAATTCAGTTCTTTGTGTTGTGAAAACATTGAAGGTATAATTTATTCTAAAGTACTAAACACTTTGTATTTAATGAAAAATTACTGGAAATTAGGACTGATAAAGAATGTATTGTGTATGTAATGAGCATATTTGAATAAATTTTGCTAATTTCCCATTAATTGGTAGAGAAATGAATTTTCTTTGGAATTTGTGTTGAAATCGCTACAAACGAAATGACTAAAACCTAAGTTGCTCTGGAGGAAAAAGTTTAGTGGACTTTTTACACTTCACTTGCTTTGTCATATTTGGTAATAAACTGAAATAATTTCACCCATCAGTGAAGTATAGAATTATCCAATTGTTGGGTCAGTTATTTCAGAGACAGTGACCGCTTTCTTATGGAAATTTGGGTCTGGTATTTGATATAATGAATATACGAAATGGTTTTAAAGAATTTCAATTTGCAGTTGTAGGCAAGTTGTAATATGATTTTGCTGTTAATGGTTACAGCACATTTTCAAATAGGTTTTTAATTTTATCTGCAGTTTGGATAGCATAAGCTACTATGTAGAAGTCTTGCTGTTCATTCAAAATGGAATTTCATTTGCGTATTCAGAATACTGAAGTATATTATTCCATATTGATGGGTTAGCGCATGCAAATTTTATGTTCAGAATTCCTGCTTATGAGAAAACGGTTTGAAAGTGTGGAATGCCTACTTTTTGATTCTCGAGTTGAGTAATTCTGGGGGGAAGTTATTGTTGAGAAGTGAATTTTTGCTGCGGGTTATTGATTGTAATGGTTGTATGATACAAGCAACTGGGATCATTTACTAAATATAATCTATATGCATTCAATATTGTCCATTATTGAAAGGGAGGGGAGAATTCAGAGAGCAGTTTTTATCAGCTGCTTCTATGATTTCCATGATCACCTTCAGGCAAGTGCAGAAGTACCTTTAATAAGCAATTACAAGTGCAATCCTTTGCCATCCTTACGGCCTGTTGTAGGTTGCTCATGCCCTCAACAGCCTGGCTGACTTAATTGTGAATGTGAATAAATTCTGTTGAGATTAAATTTTCTTAATATGGGTGAAATTTCATTACATTTAAGGAATGATACATGCTGAAATGACACTTTTCAAAACTGCTGCTGGCCTGATTTTACTAGATCATATAATAAAACCATAACATAATGGAGAAAGTTGTGCAATTCTGTCTGGAGAAGTGCAAAGAGAAAAACTGGTAATGTTTCGATATCAAGGTCCCAAAATGAGATTTTCTCTTGAAAATAGCCATTTTTGCTGCTGCATTACATACCCTTCTCTATTCTACTTGTGTATCTACAATGAGAGATATTTAAAAATGTGAAAAGATGTTCTTGACGGCTCAAGTTCTTTCTTGGTTTATTGCTCATATGGAACAAATGTGGCACGTGTCTCATTTCATTAAATCATGAAACTTATCTTAAAGGGTTAAACTTCTGAATTTTCAAAAAGTGAAGTGCTCCCTATCCTCTCCCATACATTTCACCGTAAAGGAATGATGTATAGGATCATAAGCCTTGGCCTGTGCTTTCGCCTTCAGTTTGGTTGGAAGTGTTTATTGTATTATTACATAACTACTCATGTGAGAAGGTTGCTATTGAGACCCACTAGTTTAAGATCTTGTGAAATATGGTTTCTGGTAACTAAAATAAGTAACGTTGGTTCCGAATATGTGTGATAGCGGAGTTGTGTGTACACATTTTAATGCCGTAGAAAATATTGTTTCGAGCAGAAAAGTGAAATTTATTTAACAGAATTCACAAAGACATGAACTTCTTTTGCTTTTGAGCATTAAATATGTTTATTGTTAGAATAATAAGTTTACGGTAAACTTTAATATTCCTGTGTAATTGCTGCTGCAATATAAAATCTTGATCTAATAGTTTTCTAAATCCAGATTATGATTTTTATATCAAAATTCCAACAAATTTTACTCGTGAAAATGAAGAAGAAGAGACAAAGGTTCAGTTAAAATAGAACAGTTTGGGGCTGTATGGGTAATAGGTCACAATTTGTTTTTTTCTGTTATTTTTTCTATCTAGCTTTTAATATTATTACTTCTTTTATGGATATTTTAAAACTTGTCAAGGGTCAATCCATATTAAATCAACACAATTAAATTAAAATTTTGCCTCATCTCAGATTCAGATGAAATTTGACGCATTAGTAGTGTGAAGTTATGGGGAAAAAACCAACTAATTTTCAGTAAAATATGTCTTTCTGTATGAAAAATAATTACAAAATTCCCAAAATTGAATTCTCTGAAAACTTAAATTGATTAGGAATCTCTCCAAATTAAGATGGAAAAGGGGTCTTTTTACAGCTTCTTCGATGGCCTTTTATATGATATACAACTCAACAGGGGTTTGATTACAAAAGTTTTTCGAATTTGAAATTTAATTTTTCAAAATGCACCGTGTGAAAAAAAATTGAAAAATCCTAAAACATTTTTTTATGTCATTGTATAAGTAAAAATTTGGGATCGTTTGCATTCATATGATAATCTTCACTTAAAATGTGCAATATTTACTTATGCTAGATTTCACTGATTTAAAATGAAATACATTTTAAATTATAAGCCTTAATATAAACAAATTATTACTTTAGGGTTTTTTTAGTGAGTATTGTTTTATTATTATTATTAATGTTCATAATATATTTTATTTTATTATCAATTCAAAATAACTTGATGATAGGCTGTCTCTGACTCCAATCTACATTTAATAAAAATATAGTGAAGATAAATTCACTTTAAAAAGGAAGCTTTTTACGGGTATTCAGGAGACGATTCTGATGATGAAACGTAGTTCCTTGAGGAATCACTTTTGAGCGATTTGAAACTTCATTTTGGCCTAAATGTACTTCCAGAGATAAAAAGTCAAAAATGTTGGCTTGTTTGCCACTGTTGTGGAATGTTAGGAAAATTATGAAGGAGTTTAATGCTCCTAATTACAAGAGAAGGCAATCCTCCCGAAAATGGAAAAATAAAAGAATTTTGGAAACTGCTAATAGAAAATGGGGTAATAGCCTTTCTCCTGAAATAGCTGAAGCAGTAAAATTGTTTTATGAAAGTGATGAGATTATTCGGGTTCTACTTGAAATAATGGATTGTGTTTCTGTGAGATCAGAAAATGGTGAAAAAGTTATCAAAAAGATTAATTCTTTGTAATTTGTCAAAAGTTTATAGATCTTTCAAGGATAAATTTGCCAACATGAAAATTTGCAAAGCTTTGTCGGAAAAACTGTTTTGGCTAGCTCTAGTGGTGCACATTTTGGTATAAGTGAGCACTAGATATTAAAATCTGAAACTAATGATGGAAACTGGTAAGATTGATTTCCTAACAAATGGAAAATTATCCTCTTAAGAACACTGTCTTGCTAAAGTATTGTGCAACTCTGCTTCCCTTGAGCACTTTCTGAAAAGTAAGTTCGGTGACAATGTTTAGAAGATTTACTATAATTTAAATGGGCCAGCACATAATTATAGTCAGTTATGTTCTCTCTTTGTCAGCAGCCCAGTACAAAAATTGAAAAAACTTTGCGAATCTGTGTTCTCTCAAAGAGAACTTAAAATTGATGCTGAATGGCATTTTTCAGCAACAGCAAATGGTAAATGGCCATGTGACGATGACTGGCAAATTTTGTTACCCAAGATGAATATGCAGAAACAGCAGTTTTTGAAAAATTGTATAAACAAGTTTTTTAACAATACCAGTCACTCAAAACCTTTGTGATTTTTTTCCCAAACCTTTGAGTAATTCAAAACTAAAAGTAAAGATCTTGTCAGATTGAAATGAGTGAACCATAAAAAGTGTAACAATGCTTAAAGATCAACTGCAATTTACTAGAAATTACAGGTTACATAGCTATAATCTATGATAATAACTGGTGGCTGGTGTACGTTCGGGCAAAAGATGAAAGCAAGGATGAAATTAAAGTGTCTTTTTAAAACAAGCTTGCCCGACAAAATATATCTCATATCCTAGAAAACAAGATGTTTTATGGTTTCTAGTGAATTTTGACCTATGATTAGTTAATTTGGTGACTCCGAATGGGAGATGCTACAATTTGTCAGAAAAAGAAACACTACTAACTGCTGAAGCTTATAAAAACTAAACTAGTATTCTAATGTAACTTCACCTTTGTTTAGAAATTAAATAATTCATAACCAGAAACATTAACCTATAAATTATTATGTATGCAGATTTTAATTTGAACCTTCTGCACTCTCCGGTTTAAACTTACACTATGTGTATGGAAATGTATGTGGATTGTTTCAGAATTTATTAAATTTTTTTGAAGCTGTGCATTTTGAAAATTCAAAATTCAAATTTGAAAAACTTTTTTTTACCCAACCCCTGGTGAGTTATATATTGTATAGCCTTGATACCTTTTCTAGCTCTCTATCTTATTTTGGATAGATTCCAAATTTTGTAATAGGTACTTTAAATGGCTCTGTTCCAGAAATGGGTTGATATATTTTATTAAAACTTTGTATTTTTCTTAGTCTACAAATAGGCTACTTTTGTGTCGAAGTTCATCATCAAAATCTGAAATGATAATGTAAAATGACTCTGTTTATTTAGTGTGGAATGGCCCTCTAGATTTTTATTTTTAACATAATGTTGGAAATTTTGTAGAGAAGATTGTGCTGGTTTATTAACTTCTCTAGAAACTATGTTTTGTAATTGGTTATTGTGTTAATTTGTATTAATTAAATTTATTCTCCTTAATGCCAAGTTTGTTTTTGGGGTGGTGAACTTGGTTATGGAGCAAGATTACAAACCATCTTCACATTGTAAGAATTTTAATGAAATTAGACACACCTGGGATATTGAACCCTGAGTGCACTTTGTGAGACAAAGGCAATGTATTGTGTTCTAAAATTGAGTGAATATATTTATTATATATTATGTTAACCAAGGTTTTATTTCTATTGCAAAGTGCTTGTTGCAGTTGTGTGCAAAGTAATTGTAATTTATTCTTGAAATTTACCACTTCAGCAGATGAGTCTCAGGAAATACTAGTGTACTCAGAAAGTTGAGCTTTGAACTTTTTGCATCTTGACCTGAATTTTTTTAGCAACAATTTTTCTGTTCTAATATAATAAGTTGAAAGTAATTGTTGGTAAGTAAATGCATGAATTAATATTTATTTAAAGTTCTGGTCACTTCTGTTAAAAAAAATGTTACAATGACACTTCGTTAAAATCGATTGTATTTCATTGAATCTCA